ATACTTGATACATTTATCCAAAGCCTATTATTATATTTAAAGAAATACTTAAGAATATAAGGAATATAATAATGTTCTTCATTCAACACAGTACCAATTTTTTTTTTCTTTATTATGTCCTCAAAAACTGACTTAAAATTACATAAACTTTTTTTATGTATTTGGACTTATACCTATAAATTATAATTACATATTTACTATATTGAAAATCTGTGATAATAAGTAGAAAATTCCATTCCAATAACAGGATTTGCATAGAAAGGAAATTGTTTCCAAGACTGGAAAATTCAAATACCTCGGATTGAAAATAGACCAAACAAAGCTTTCGATGATAATGGATTTCTCAAATTAAGAATGTACAATGCTATGATAAAGCCAGTTCTGATGTAGGGTTGCAAAACTTGGATGGACACTAACCAGCAACCTAGAAAGAAATATTGAAAGATTTGAGAGGAGAAAAATCCTCTGTATGATAACCAGAGCAAACTGAGATCAGAGTAAACCAGCACTCCAGAAGAAGAAGTATCAACAAATTTCAGGAAAAAAATGAAGAAAAAAACGTTTTATTTATGTTGAATAAAGAACATTGATGTATTTTATCGTTTAAAGAAAATAAAAGTATTATTAAATGAATTTTTCCTCCGGTGGGTAAAGGAAAATAATAAGACAGTGTAATGACAGCTAGCAAAAGAAAAAAATCCCACCTGAAAAATTAATTGAGTTGAGTCTCAGAAAAATTTGTAAATGAGTAATTTGTTTATTAAAAAAAATAAAAGGTAACCCCTATATTCTAGACAGAGTGGAAAGCCCAAGATTCATTCCTGGGTCCACTATTAAATAAATTGCAACCCTTGCTAGAAATTAATTAGTACAAATTTTGACTCCATGTTACTAAGGTAATGCCTTAATATCACAACCTCAGTGCAATGAAATTTATAAACAACCTTTTTAATATTCAATCAGATGTTTTATAGTTCTTAACGAAGTGTTTCAATCAAGCTATTATCTCTTATGTTAAATTAAATGATGAATAAAGCCTCCAGTTGTGTTAAGGTTGTTTCTGTGTAAGTGAAACCTACCACAATTGATTTACCATACAATGGATAAATATTTCAAGCCAGAAAACTTTGAAGCAGATAATAATTCAGAATCAGGTTCATCTTAGTGGAACCATTGGAAAAAAAACTTTTGATGTGTTTCTTGCACCAATTCAAGCAAAGGATGCGGATAAATTACTATCACTAGGTAACCGTATTAGTCACACTATATATGAACTTGTTAGTGATTTTACTTCATATAATGCAGCTATTGATAGATTGAATAGCCTTTATATCAAGCCCAAAAATGAAATTTATGCAAGGCATAAATTAATGATCTGTCAACCATTCACCATGGCATCATCATCTTTGGCAATGCCTATTAACTCATTTTGCTTCATAGATATGTTAATTTCAAATAACGTATATCACAATATAAAACTAGGCGTTCTTAAAGATAGCTGCTCTAATGTCTTACTAGGAAATGATATTTTAAAACAATACTCAAGTTTATCGATTTCATTTGGTGGAAAAAAATCAGTGCTGCAGGTAAGTTCCCTTTCACCTGTAAAAGTGGGCCTGCTTCCCTATTTGAGCATTTGTCAGTCAACTATTGTCCAATTGCTGTAAAGTCTAGACACCATTTGAAAGAAGATGATACTTTCATTCATGTAAAACAACTACATTTTGATGACATCATTGAAGAGAGTGTTTCTCCACGGGGAGCACAGGTTTTAGGTAATCATAGAAAACATATGGTTATGGACTACTCACAAACTATAAACAAATACACCTTGTTGGATGCCTACCAAATTTCTTCTATTGAGAAAATATCCAGTTATAATTTTCAAAGCTTTATAGATCTTAAAAATGCTTACTATCAGATACCCATATGGAAAGAGGACCATGTACTGCTTTTGAAGCTGCCTGAAAGCTTTGGCCATTTAAGCGAATAAATGGGTGTTACTAATGGAGGTGCTGTTTTCCAAAGAAGATGGATGAGATCTTGACTAAAGAAAACGTGTAAGGTGTAAACATTTACCAAGATGACATGACTGTTAGTGGTAAAGATCAAACTGAACATGACAATAACTTACATACATTTTTGGAGATGAGTGAGAATTACAATCTTACTATCAATAGAGAAAAATCTCATTGATATCTCAAATCAATAAATATTCTTGGATCTCACAAATACTCTTCGGCCTGATCCTCACAGACTCAAGCCACTGACGGATTTTCGTCTCCCAACGAACAAGACTTCCCTTCAACGAGCTTTGAGAATGTTTTCCAAATGGGTGCCAAGATTTTCTGATAAATTTCACAGATTATTTAAATGTCATAGATTCCCTTTAGATCCTGAATTGATCAAAGACTTTAATGACCTAAGATCTTGTATCATAAAATCATTCATTACAAACATTGAAGACAATGTTCCTTTCTTTGTAAAAACACATGCGTCAGATGTAGCGATTGCAGCTATTCTAACTCAAAACAAGAGACACATAGCTTTCTTCTCCAGAACATTGTCTAAGAGAGAACAATACCGTTCCGCAATCGAGAAGGAGGTGTACGCTATAATAGAAGCCCTTCGGAAATGGAGAGATTATTTAATTGGTAGAAGATTTCAACTTGTTACTGGCGAACAATCCATTTCATACCTGTTTGATATCAACTACCAAGGAAAAATTAAAAGTGAAAAATTTACCAGAGGTGTTTGTAACTGGCACCATTTAATTATGAAATAATATATCGCCCTGGTAAAGACAATGTACCAGCTGGTGCTTTGTCAAAGCTTTGTAGCTCCAGTCACAGCGTTGATATATTTATACAACATCACAATACTCTTTGTCACCCAGGGAATACAAGGATGGCTCATTGGGTTAAAGGCCAAAACCTTCCAAACTCAGTAGAGGAGATTGGAAAAATGACTTCGTGCAAAATTTGCCCTGAAATCAAACCTCGGTTCTAGAAGACTCAGAGCAATCTCACTAAAGCCACATATCCATTCGAACACCTTAGCAATGATTTTAAATGACCTTTAATCAATGACCCTGTGAAGTATCAGAGAGTAAACCCTCTGATACTCCACAAAAGTTCCTTCTGACCATCATTGATGATCTTTATTTACCTGGCACTACTGCTCTATCATCAACAACTGTCATCAATGCTTTAAGTCACTTTGGTTATCCGGCCTACATTCATTCAGATAGAGGTATATCTTTCATTTCAACAGAACTCCAGGCCTCCCTTCATTCTCACGGAATAGCATTCAGTTGCATGACTCCATACAATCCTTGTATAAATGGACAAGTTGAAAAGTACAATGATATAATTTGGAAAACTATTAACCTAGCATTAAAGTCTGAAGGTCTCATGACACCACAATGGGAAAAAGTTTTATCTGAGGAACTACAGTCAATCTGTTCATTACTCTGTACCTCAACCAATGTTATCCCGCATGAACCTATGTTCTTTCACAACCTAAGATCATCTTCAGGAGTGTCAATCTTTTCTTGGCTAACAAATTCATTCAAAGTGCTTTTGAAAAATCAAGTTGGACCAAGCAAATACGACCCATTCATACAAGAGGTTACTTTACTTGAAGCAAACCCAGACAATTAAGTTCTTATTAAGTTCCCTGGCAGTTAAGAGACTACAGTTAACTTGAGACATCTTTCTTCGACAGAAGAAAGAATCTCACATTTCAAATGATGGAAACTTTCGAGAAAAATGTGTAATGAATGAGGGGATCGGCCATCATTCTACGACTGATATTACTAATTTTCAGAAGGATGCTATCGATTTTATTTCAAAGCCTACAAATACTGATAATGTTTCAGAAGAATCAATTTTAGAAGATGCTCTTGTAGAAGATCCCAATCAAGAGTTTAACCCAAGACCAGATCTTCGAAGATCACCTCAGACTATTCAGCCTCCTCGATTCTTGAAAGACTATACCCTTAAATGACAAAGGGAGAGGTGTGAATGTAATGAAATTTATAATAATTTCCTTTATAACCTTTGTAATATTCAACCAGATGTTTTGTAGTTCTTAACGAAGTGTTTCAATCAAGCCATTTTCTTTCATGTTAAATTGTATGATAAATAAAGTCTTGAGTTGTGTTAAGGTTTATTCTGTTTAAGTAAAACATACTACACTCAGGTTATACCATTGTCCACAAAGCTAAACATAAAAAAATGAATGATAAATTCTTAGACCGAAATTAGCAAACAATTTGACTTTTCCCTAAAGTAGTAAGTAAGTCATAAACGGGGAAAAACAAAATATTATAAATCCACAAATGTTTGGAAATAATAAACCATAATTTCAGCTATTTTTACAGTTGGGATGAAATGTTGGAAATATATATTTAATTCAATAATTAAAGGTTTTGTTTTACACTATTGACTTTAAATGAAGTTTATGTAAAGTAATTCTTTTATTCATGTTTAAAAAATGAACAATTTGATATTTGCTCAAAGGGATTTTTTTCTTTCAGATTTTCATTTTTTTTTTCTTCTTCTTTTTTTAACTTCTTTCCTACATATTGACGACTTATTTTTTAAATTTTCAATGTGAGTAGTCTAAGACTACTCAAGACTGGAATACTACTAGTCTACAATAATTCTTTATTTTAAAATATGTGATGGATAAATTTAATTTCTATTCATCGACTGCTCCATGAATGGAAATTGCAAAATAAATGGTATTAATGACAAAGTAGTCATTAAACAAAAATAAATGAACAAATCAAGAAAAAACATTATATTAATTATGACTTAATTTCTATCGAAAAACATGATTTTACCATTACTCTTTGTCATATGTAACTTCTTCTGTCTAATAATTAAGAAATACAACCAAAGATTTCTCATAGGTTTAATTAAAGACTATTTTTCTATGAATAATATATAAAGTCGGGAGAGGATTAAAGATTTGTGAGGTGATGAAAACTAAAATTTTTCAACAACTTGAGACATTTTATTATGTTCCTCAAAATGAAGTTTTAAAAATATTAAAATTTTTATAAATAACTAGAATTTAACATGGCAAGAATATATATATATATTATATATTTTTAATAATTATCTATATACACATACATGTGGTAACTTAAGCTCCATTTAAAATTCACATAATTTTTTTTAAGAACATTTATTTAATTGTGAAGTTGATTTATAGCTGAAAGTTATCACATTAATGACATGGTGAACATGTACAACTGTCTAAAATATTTAACCAACTAATAGTATACCAACACTAATAGTATACAAAAATTACATTTATTATAACATATAAATAACATTTAATTCTATTCTCAGTATCCATCATACTTTTAAGTACAAAAATAAGCAATTTACAACTATAATATCACCCACGTATGTAAATAAATACTAAATGTTACCAAAAGTTTTGGTCTCACATTAAAAGAATCTAGGAAAAATTGTAAAAATAAAAGTTTCACGAGACCATAATCCTAAGGTATCTAAAAAATAATAGTTCTATAAACAAATTTGGGATACTTATAATAATTATCACAATAAAAACTAAGTTAATAATAATTAGCACCTAGTTCAATGAGTTGGAGATAAAAAAAAATAGTGGTTGGAATAAAACTTCAATGAACTGATATGATATGATATGATACATCAATTACCATTCAACATTTGTTGACAATCATGTCAGTCTTATAAAATGGTTTTCCAACCATGCCAAATTTTATTCGGCCATCAAATTGGTAATATACATAAATTTTAAAATCAACTCTTATTGACAATACTTTACATGTTTTTACATAAAATTAAAGGTAATATACCTTAATTTACAGAATATTATTTTTAAATATTACTCCTTTTGAAGGAAAAATTTCTCAATAATCCCCTCTACACTAGTTGTAACTCCGATAATAAAACCAAACGTAGCTATAAGACAGATAGTTAGATTTTTTAGAAAGAAAAATATAAACTGTAGTCCATTATATTCATTCCAGTAAGTACAAAGCTGTATAATAGCAGGAAATGAGAGTCCCATTGTGGATAGGCAGAAAGCTCCTATTAAGGAAATGAAAAGCTCCAGGTCAGGTATGGCAACTGCAAATGTAACTAAAGCAAAAAGAAAAAAAAATTAAAGCAAAACTAAAAGAAAATTTTAAAAATAAATAAAAGCCATTATATGAATATTTTAGTATTAAAATCGGCACACATAAGAGATGGTTGGACGTGCTAAAAGAAATGACTGAAAGAAGTATTTGAGAGAAAGTTTTATAAGACAAGAAATGGTGGTAGGATGTATGGATTTCAGAATCATAAAGAAAAATAATAATTTAACCAAGGTGAAGAATTAGTAAAAACAGTAAATTATGAGTTAAAAAAAACATACACCAAGTAGGACAGTATAATTCCATTTAATTTCAATTGAGAAAAGTAGGAAAAATTGAATTTGTTGTTTCAATTACTTGTTTTGACATGTTTCAAAAAAATTGTTTCTCTCTTTAAAATCTTTAGCATCACTGATGTTCAACATAAACTGTGTGGAGTATATTTTATACTCCCCTTATTAAGTTTATCCCTTAATTATGTGCATATAAAATATACTCCTAGATATAAAAAAAAAAAAAAAAATATGTACACGAATATCTACATACACTTCACTATGAATATAACTATAACTAAAAATTTGATAGAATATTACAATACAAAAACTAATGATCAATCAGACTAAGTTTAAAACTTATATAATCTCCCATCTGTTCCATGTCTCTCACATTTCACAGCCATTTTACTCTTAGCAATTACATTAATTTGCATTGTTAGGTGGTATTTTGTAAAATTGATAAGTGATCCTTTATATACTATTTCACAACTTGTCTTCAACTTTGGGCCATATTACACAAGCTCTTTTTAAAATAGTATATCAAGGAACATAATTGTGCATCTACAACTAAACATTGAGAATTAATAAAATTGATGCTTTCTCAATTCTATTTTCACCAACCCCAAACTTTTCTTTGACTTTATGTCAAATTGAAAATACTGTTTTCTAAATATGGAGACGTCAAGGAAAATATGTTTGTGTCTATTAAGCAGAAGTCACAGATAGAATTTGACTAATACAGGATAGAGGAACAGGTTCAAACTTTTGGGGAGGAAGGGAGACAAAGGGGTCGATTGCCTCTCCCCAATAAAAATAAAGAAGGCTAGAATATCCTCCCTCCTTTTCCTTCTCCCCAAAATTTCAAGGTACAAAAATTCAAAAAAATATAATCAAAATCAATAACAAATAATCTGCATGAATGAATAAAATATACTAAAAGTAAAATTAGTTAATAAAACAGGACATGGTAAAATATTTAGTTACATATTTCCACTAGCTGATCTAAATAATACTATTATAATTTATATTTTTATAAATAATACTTTTTAGAGATAATTTTTTTCATAAGACACGGATATATTTTACCATTTTTGGTGGTGAGGGGAGAGGAGCTTCAGCCCATCAACTCAATGGCTAGTCTAAGCCCTTGGCAAGGCACAGGCGGATCTATAGAGGAGGAAGGGAGGGAGTTTTCGGGCTGAAGGCACCCCTCCCTCTCAAAAATGGTAAAATATATCCATGTCGTATGAAAAAAATTATCTCTAAAAAGTATTATTTATAAAAATATAAATAATAAAAGTATTATCTGGATCCGCTAGCGGAAATATGTAACTAAATATTTTACCATACCCTAAATGTTCCTATTATTTAATTTTTATTTATATTCATAGATAACTATGGGTAACAACATATCCTAAGATTTTATCATTCAATCCCCTCATCTTTCTTTCCCTTTTTTATGTGGAATATTTATCACATTTTCCATGAAAAAATTTAAGAGCATCAGCAAGTGTTCATTTAACTGCCTCAAGCTTTTTCCAACTTTGAAGGCTTCAGATATGTTTCCTTTTACCAAGCATTTAGAATAATTTTTATAAACCTTTCTCAATCTCACAAACATCCCATGAACTAACTCTGTCATGAGCGTCCAAAGGCAATTTCTCTTTATGGACTCATAAGCTCCTGCATGAATACAAAGCTTCCTCTACCTTTGGTAGTGAGACAAAATAATTATGAAAAATAATGAACTTTGGCGAAAAACTGTTTCAATATTCTCCCTTATAATTTTAAACATTAAAAATCTGATTTATGAAACTTATTTATTTCAATATTTTATATAATTTGGTTTATTAAGTATACCTGTCATATTAAGAATGTAACTATCACTAATACCTTAAAAATCATTATAAATGGAAAGATTCAAGTAAAAACATATTTTTAATTAACTCACATGTTATAATAACCAGGACAGTTCTGACCAGATATTCCCAGAAAACTTTAGCTCTTTCAACTTTTGGTTCAATGTATTCCCTCCAACTTATATCCACAGCTACATAGCAGGCAAGTGCATGAGTGATAAAGATCGCAAAAGCCAACATTAGTCTTGCAGCTTGTGCCAGGCTAAATTGTTAACAAACGGTTAATATTAATTTAAACGATTATAACGAAAATTTGTAAGAATTCCATTAATTCATTAATTGTTGCTTGATAATTGATAGACTCACTATTGATCTGTTGGTAAGTTCAAAGTTATACTTCCTTTGGTTTCATTTCCATACTTCAAATATCCAAAGAATCCAACAAATGTATAGAGAAGGGTGATTGGCAGCATGGCACAATTCAACACACCAAATGCACTACCAAACTTTCGTGGATTTTTCATTTCATTTTCAAGTGGCATAACCTGAAAAAAAATATATTGTCAGTTTTTTTTATAGCACCTGAATTTTAGTAACTGATCTAGTAAATAAAATGTAACACATTATAAAATTAATTTTTTAAATAAATATTATTTAACAACAAATGAAAATATTCATTAATTTTTAGGTGCACTTCGATATTTCAAGAACTATGGAAAACATAAATATTTAAATGTTTTTTCCCTATGCTAGTGTTTTTTGTTTCTAGTTTTAGATGTTTTCCATTAAAACTGCTGTCGGTAACAAGTTGGGCTAAGTACTAATTGTTGGTGTTAGTTAAGTTAGATAATAGGGTTTCCCAAAGTTTGTGAAATGTCTAAACACACCTTAAAAAGTTAATTATGATTTTTTTCATTTAAAACATATTCAGATACTTATATGATTTTGTCGTGTTTAATTCAAAATTTGAAAATTATTACGATTAATTAAAATATACAATGCTTACCACTCCAATGGCTTCCATAGCAAAAAGAACAGTGCCAAAAAATAATGGCAGTCTCTTAAATGGTGCAACTGCCTGTCTTGTCTCAATGTCTGGTACGCTTGCGAACATATAATAAAATATCAAGCCAAATGAAAAGATAGTGACTGCATTGGCGATGCTGGAAAGGGGCGCTAAGTACTTCAAATTTCTAACCCAGTTAATTAGAATGAGGGGAGTCAAGAGGAAAAGGCTGTACCATCTGATATCAATACGATTCTCTGGAGCCTGGTATTGATCAACCACCTTAAAAGTATTCGAAATATTATTTAAAACATAAAGAATTTAAGTAAATTAAAATTTAGACAATAATAATACATTTCAAAACTTACATCCTTAATATTTGAAGAAATGAAAACAACATAAATGCAGCATGACCCAATTTGATAAAGTAACAGAAATACATTACATATGGTTCTGAAAAATAAAATAAAATATAATAATGTATCCATGGTCTTGTATTTTCTTAAACATTTTTTCAAATGGTGCTATAATTTACTATTTAATGTATATATTTTTTAAACTTACGGGACATATTTTGCTACATATCTCAATGGCTTAGGTCCTTCAGAGAAGGCTGCTTCAGCTGTTTCAGGATAAGTCATGCTAGGCTGTTTTTTCCTTTTACACAGTTCGTATTCAGCAGAGATCTGTAGTAAAAGCATAAACGTAAGAACTATACATAATGTTGGATAGTGCCATAAAATAACCAATTTGTATGCTTACCAAAATATGAATAGTATAAGTACAGAGAAAACCAATGACTAGAGTGCCAATCGTTGCCACAAGATACCCAGCATTGTGAAAGGCATCAGGCATAGCAAGAATTCCAGTTCCAAGAGAAGCTTTTAACATGTGAATAAATGTTTCAAAATACCTACAACAAAAAACCATTAAATAATTCAATTGTTTATGGTTATATTTCTTTAATAATTTAACAATGAGATTTAAGAAATAGAAAAAATTCATACGAAAGTCACTTACGTTGTAGGATGTTTAACATCTCTATTATCATATGGTTCATATTCTTTTTCTGACTTAGTTTGCCTAATAGGATTTGGTTGTGAGACATAGACAGCTTTCAGTGACTCCCTGCATTAAGAAAAAAAATCTTACTTGAATAAAAAACAAAATAATAATAATAGTATGCGCGATGAGAAGTAAATTTATAGTTGTTAGTACAATTTTTGAGTGGTTTAAATATAAAATCATGTCACATAAAGTCTACTTACTTCCTATGAGGTACTCCATTATTGGTATTTTTCTCAATCATTTGACTAACAGTCCCTACATTCGAAATTTTTCGGCATTTTACAGCTGGGTTTGATGACATAGCAGGGCTGTTGTCATAAGCCATTGCTGGGTTGTCGTAACCCATCTAATGAAAAATATATAATTGTTATAGTAAATATAATTTATTAAAATGAAAATTCAAGAAATTAAAATTAAAAAGTTATTAATTACTAGAAAGATTAGTATATTTTACACGTTAAGATTATATTAGTATAATTTATAACATTAATATTAACATAATTGAGTTATTATTTCATGAGGCCAATGGTGAAATAAGAAATCTAATTACATAATGTTTGACCCTTTGTCTAGAGGTATTTTAAATAGAAAATATAAGAATAATATGTGTTTACAATACAGTAATCGTGTTTCATAATGTGGTTTATACACGATATTAATTTTTTTATGTTACATTTTTTGTTTGTAAGAGGGAGCGAAGTAGCTCAGTATAGGCACTGTGGCTTTCCTATCCCACTGTGACATTAATTATTTCTTCAGTTCCATAAGTTTTGGATCGACCCTTTAGTTGAGAGACCCTCTTGGAGTAAACCAAGCCTCTATTAAAACCACACTTTTTTTTTTTTTTTTTGTAGGTGCTCCGAGAAACTACTTGAAGTAAGCTTCAAGTAAATCAGGCATTCACAACACAATGCTGGCCACTCAGTCTTAAGAGTTTCATGAGATTAGTTATTTCTTCTGTGAAAATATTACTTATGTTAGTCATTTTTCCATTAACGGTATAAATTATGTTATCATATTATAAATTGTGTAGTACAACCTTGCTGTCCACAGGATCTTAGGGAGGGGGAGGTGCTTTCAGCCTGAAGCTCCCCTCAAAATAATAAAATGTAACCATATTTATGGATATAAATATTAAAAAATTAACTATTAAAGTATTATTGATCGTGTAATTACATTTAATAGGACTTCAAGAATCACTTAAACACAATTTCATATACGTAGGTAGGATCTTTTTTTTCAAAATACTTATAATTTTATATATATGAAAAAAAAAAAGCTTTTGGGCTGAAACCACCCAATAATAAATCCTGGATCTGCTAGTGCTGTCAGCCACGTAAACGCAATGATTCCTATGTTAGCATAGAATGAAAATATTTGTCTGAAGATCAATAATAAAAAAAGAAGCCACATCAAAGAGAGGTTTACCTCGGTGTCAGCCATGATCCCCGCTCCTTCCGGAGTCAACTAATGATATCTTCGCTCAGCTTAAGGGATTAAACTTACAACACATCTTCAACAAGGCTGTTTATTTACTACTCAACTTCGTTTTCATGTAATCGCTAAGTTTACAAGGTTAAATGTATCTCGCTTTCAATCCGCTTTTTATTCTTCTCGTTCTTTATACAACATTTATTGAATAATAATCATAATGAAAAATAAAAATGAAAAAAGGTTCAATATATTTAACTAAATTTTCAAAAATAAATTCATTATAATAACGTTTATAGAGAAAATATTTATGTTTACAATAAACAATTGTAATTAATTATTTATTAAGTACTATCATTAATTATTTGTACATCTATCATTAAATGGCACATTCGCGCTCAAATATTTCATTTTCATCATTATATTTTAAGTTGGTATGTAAGAGTCTTAATGAGAACTACTAGTCAAAATTTAAAAGTAATAGACATTTTCATATCTGAAATATAATTATCAATAACTCTGTGATTTAATGTTATCATTCTTTCATGATTCATTATATAAATATAATGGAATATTCTTCACTATTGAGACAAATAAAAATAACACGAATCTTATAGGTTATTAAATTTAAGCATTGCTAACAATTGGCGTTAAGATACCGTAGGTATTTATCAAAAGGTTTGTGTTGTTTCCGTCAATCTTATAAAAAAACAGAAAAGGATGGTTTCACGCACATTTCAGTATAAAAAAGAATATACATCGGTATCTGTAAACAAAATAGGCGGAAGTTCAAAACTTTTAAAGTTAAGAGAACTGCTCAAAATAAATTAGTGTAGAGAATATAATTAATTGGTATTCTTTCATTATTGTCTCAATAGCTAATAACTGAAGCAAATTGTCCCCCTTCAACAATCACTTTACATCCTTGCATGATTTCTCTTTTGGAGTTCATTCAAATTCCTTGTCAAGACTATCGTAACTCAAAAACTATACACCTTTGAGACATTGCAGATTCTCGTATTAAAGACAGTTAAACTTTTTATAAAGTTAAAGTTTAAAAGGTCGGATCGAATTAAACGAACATACTACCAAACGATGTTGATATTGAACTTCGCACCCAAAGTTGCGAGGAAAGTCTTTTGAACTTCATATTTAAGAATCCATCTTATGAATTTAATATTATTTTTACAAAGTTGTGCTAGTAAATATATAATCACATGTCCATCATCATAAACCTCCACAAACGTACCCTCGCTTATAAGATCACTTACGTTCCGTGTACATTTCCTTAACAGTCCCATAAAGATAGAAACTCTTATCATAATTTGTTAATGCTGATTGTTATTATGATAATAAGAACCATATAAAGCGAGCGAGTCGATTAAGGCTCGTGCACACAGAATGTGATATGTCTCAGCGATAAAATGTTGCTGTCCGCGGCGATTTGGCGATATAGTTGTTTTACTTTCTGTTTATTCTACAATTAGAATCATACAGAGTTCGATAATCCGCAGCATATCGCAGAGACTTATAGAATTATGTTTGCATGAACCTTTAGTGCCATAAGATGAAATTAATTCTGAAGAAATTTTATTGAATGGTGATAGGTTCTAACAAAATAGTTACGAGCATCTAAAAACTTAATTTACTAAGGGTATGAGTTCATTTATTTAACATTATGGTACCTGATACCAATCCATTTGGCTAGAGGCACTATTCCTTTATCACATTAACAGTTCTTTAGGGAGGCTATTATCGGGCTGAAGCTCCCTACCCCCAAAATGGTAAAGTATAACCATGTTTGTGAAAAAAATATTATAAAATTATCTCTTAAAGTATTATTGTTCGTGTAATTACATTTAAATGGACTTTAGGAATCACTTAAACACCATTTCACATTTGTAGTTAGTTTCTTTCTTTTTTTCCAAAGTAATTATTGTTATTTTTATGAAAAAAAATGTTTTCGGGCTGAAGCCTCTCCCTCCCCCCCAAAAAAAATTAAATCCTGGATCCGCTAGTGGGTATAAGGAATAGTGTACAATTTTATTAAGTTTTAATTTTTTTGTAAAATTTAAACTTAAGTACGATCCTTGATAATAATAAACAAAAATTATGTGTATAAAAGGTATATGTAAGTTTTTCCCTCCTACCCAATAATAGTTTACCATGGATTATATCATAAGCATGGGCAATATTAGAAGGCTGAACAAATAAGGACAAAAATGCGTTAATTTGCTCAGTAGTGTTTTAAAAATATATTATAGATTATTTTAAATATAGGAGATATGATTATATTGTACATTTTCTTCCTTGATTGCTTAATTATTCAATTAAGCCAGTAGTTTTTGTTATGATTGTACCGATAAGCCTTGGATTACTAAAATAACGCATTCAAATCCAAACATGATAAAATGTAATACTATGAACATTGCTTGATGCCTCTATATTTTATTTCAGTTTTTTTTTTTTAACCCTTACACTTAATAAATTAATTTTTCAAATCATTTAACTATTTTATCTGAACACCACACCATCCAACAAAAGCCACTACGATTCACTTTCATCTTATCAAACTAAACAACTTCCCCTCAATGGGTGATTCTGCTTATCATGGTAATAATCAACATTAACGAATTATACGATAAGAGTTTCTATCTTTATGAGGCTGTTAAGGAACCGTTAACGAAACTGAGTGGTTTTATAAGCAAAGGTTCGTTTGTCGAGGTTTATGATGTAATTTATGATAAATGATAAACTGTTGGTTCGATATTTACAAACATTAATTGATAAAAATGAAGTTCAATTTATAAGTTAGGTTCTTCCACTCACAAGACTTTCCTCGCACGCAGTTTGTCACATTTTCACTATAATTAGCCGGATTCTTTTAAAACGTAACGTTGTACACAGATAATTTTCAATTTTCCTTAAAATAAGCATCTGCAATGTCCAGAAGATGTATGATTTTCGAGATATTAAAAAAAAAATAAGATTACCAGTACAAAATCTAAAACTCCATATCCTTAGTACTATAATTGGAAGCTAATGCATTAGAATCATATTCAAATAAGTAATATATATAATATTAATTTTTATACCTTATGTAAGATAAAGAAAATATTCAGCGATATATTAAATATACAACGACGGAATATAATAATAATAATAATCTTTATTTATTCTGGGAAAGGTTTAGAATAAAGTACAATGACAGAATTGAAGGCTTTAGTGACTTAGATGTTAATAATAAAAATAATCAGAATAAACCAATAGAAATATTAATTAGATAGTTATAGATAAGATTATAAGTTAGTTTCTAAAATATTAAATTAAAAAAAAAATGGGTTAATTATTATTTGATACATTATTATAAATGTTGTTTTTAAGCAAATAGGATGATAATATTTTACATACATTTTTTCGGGAACAACTAAGTACAGTATTTTGGGAACTGGGTAGATAGGAATAGGTTGAATAGGCAGGATTTAAAGGTGGAGAGGGTACTGGAGGGACGGTTGTAGGAATTGTATGTGAGAGATGCAGGAGTTGATTTTCATAAGATATATAAGCGTGAAATAGATAGGAGGGTATCACACATGGTTTATAAATTTTATGACAGAATTTCCCATATTTCATTATCAAAATAATCACTTTAAATAGGTAGAGCATGGCAGTAATGCAATTATTTTTTAACGAATCGTAATTTCTATACAAATTATATGGTTATAAGCATAAGAGAAAAAACATTATTAGAAAAAAAAATAACGAAATCGCAACAGTAAATATTTAAAATCACCGTAATCAAATTACTGTATTATTTACAGGAGGATATCTTAAATAGTACCTCAGATGACTAAAATGATTTTTTAACGGCTATATATTATTGTCGCTATTCATTTTATAATGTTAAATGATGAT